TTACCAACAAAAAACTCATTCAATCTTCAGTCTTATATATTTTCCATGTTTTATCAAAACCACACGAAATAAATCCTTCATCATCCTCTAACCAATCTACATCTACAACTGGCTTTGAATGTTCTTCATATTTACATACCAATTTCCAATTCCAATTTTTTAATGACCAAAGTTTAATGGAATGGTCAAAACTACTTGTTAGTAATAAATCTCCTTGATGACTTAATTTTACTGCTGTGACAATAGTACTGTGTGCTGGAATAGTATATCCACATCTTTCCATTCGAATATCCCATAATTTTACTGTATTATCATCAGACGCTGTGACTAATACTCCTCCATTACAATGCCAGTCTAAACTAGTTATTGTAGACGCATGTCCTTCATACTTTCCTATTTGTTTCCCATTTCGAACATCAAATAAATGAACAATACGATCGTTTCCTCCTGATGCAAATATCCCACCATCTCGTTGCCATCCAATACATCTTACAGAACCACTATGTCCAGTTTGTTTTAATACACATCCTCCATTCTCTAAATCCCATAATTTTATCATTGAGTCATGAGACCCTGTTAGTAAAAATCTTCCTGATTGATGAAATTCTACTGCATTCACTCTATCAGTATGACTTTGAATACCAAGTGGTTGTTCTTCATTTTTTGCAAATAATTTGACATATCCTTGTGATGTTCCTACAACAAAATCAATTGGTGCTTCTTCAATAGGTGAAAAATTTAATGAATAAATTTGTCCTTCAACACTTGTTTCTCTTATTTTTGAACAATCACTTAAATCCCATACTCTGACTTTCCCATCTGCACCCCCTGTGATAACACTTTTTCTTCCTACTTTACATCGTAAAACTCTATATTCATCTCCAATCATTGAACCAACATTATGTATTGACTCATATTTGTGTTGAACATAATGAACTTCTTCTTTTGTTCTTGACTTAGCTCTAAGTAAACTATCAACTAACAACCATCTTCTTATTCCAATTAATTCTTCTCCACCATCAGTGTAATGTAATTTAGTTATTAGTTGGTCGGTTTTTTCTTCTGTAAGTGCACATTGTGGAAATCCTTGGTCAGAACCAACTTTAGCTAATGCATCTCTCAGTCTCTCTCTTCTACTCTCAAATTCTTCTCCAAATAACATAATTGGTTCTCCCAATTCTCTCAATCTTAACATAACCATTTTATCTTCTGTAGGAAGTGGGATTTTTCTATATTTCCATTTTTCTTCCAATTTCCTAATATTTTCTGCATGTTGTTGAGTAGTAGGAATGTTTTTCATATATTATACTTTTTTAGTCTTTTTTGATAAGACACAAAATGTTAATATAATAATATATAACTTATTTATTATTAAAATATTATTTTTAAATTCTTCAATTAAAACATAACAGCTCGAACATCTTCATCTAATTCACCCCATAATGTAGAATTATTCCATGACTGAACTTGTTTAATTTCTTTATTCCATTGATATTCCTTCTTTAAGAAAGAATACATTTGAATAGCATCTAGTCTATTATCACCTTCATAACAAGTACAATGAACAATCTTACATTTAAGATTACTTTTTGATAGAGTTGAATATAATTCTTTCGTTATTGGTGATTTTTCAATAACTTTATCATTACTAAACAAAATATCCCCTAACTCTCCTTTTGAAGAAGAATATAAAAATATAACTTCAGATGGTTGTAATGATTTAATACATTCAGCAAAGTCTCTACAAAATTCAAGGTATCTAGATGCAATAAACGTTGATCGTAATTGAATAACATTCATTTCTTCATTCCCATAAATTGTAGCAGCAAATGTTGGTGATTTAATGTGGTCATAAATGGGTGGTGCAACATATGGAATGAGAAATTCATTTTGAAGAATTACTTGTTGTTTAAGTTCTAATGAATTAATAATCAAGTCAGCACATAACTGTCCTACATTTCCTACTGACCAACAAGGCTATTAAATTAATTCAATAAAGTTTTTAATTCATATAATACCACAAACAAACAATAAAGAGTATTTTATTGAAGTTATTGAATGGTGAATTAGTTTTCATTATCTGACATTTTTAAGTTCAAAAACTTCAAACAAAAAAGAAAGAATTAAGATAATATTGCTCAATTTAATTCTTTAATAGTAGTATTTTTTCCTCTATGAGAAAAGAAATGGAAGTCAATGGCTGTTGGTATGTTTAATGTTGTTCTCATAAATGATATAACTTTTCTTAAATCATCTTCTTTATCTGTCTTCAACCAAACAGTTAATTTGGCAAAACTTCTTAATGAAAATGAAACACCATTTACTTTATCTCTTAGTGGAATTGTTTCTCCAATACAAGACAACATCTATCATTTAATTTTTCTTGCTCTATGTTTGCTATCTTTTGAGTAAATAATTAAACTGAGAAAACAAACAAGTTTTAACCATACATCTTCAGCAAATGCTGCTTTACTTGGAGTATTAATTTGTAAATTAAATTGTAATTTTCCACCATTTTCTGTTGTTTTTGGTTCAATACCACTTCTAAAGAAAAATGAATCAATTCCTTTTGGTAACGATGTTTGTTTTTCAATACTATCATATAATCCCCAAAATTCTTCTACTAAATGTATAGTATAAATAGGTGTTGCAGTAACTCCAGAAGTGGAAAAAACTTGGTTTATCCCTAAGTCAAACCAATATGTCCAACCAGTTGTCAAAAAATGAAGTGGAATAATTTCCTTTGTTGTAGCCATGTTAATTTATGAAAATAAAAAATAATTAATTAGTTTAGTTCTTCTTTTTTATACAATTTTTTAGTTTTATTGTTTTTTAATAACAAAAGCTATTCAAATTTTTACTCCATTCAAAATATCCCCATTTTTTTCAATCAACTAACACAAGACTCTTACTATCTGTTAATCCATTTTTAATGAATGTCTTTGTAATTCAAATTATGCTCGGAACATTCTAAGTATAATGTGTTGAATGAAACATACACGTATCGCGTGTAGTCTCTGTCTATTGTCTTGAAAATAAATCTTTATTTTCTCTTAAACGAAGATAGAACTTTTCACCCTTTTTTTCTTCTAGCTTTCTCTTATCTTTTTATGACAAAACAATGTTAAACATTACTTTCAGTAGAATTAAGATAGCT